AGAGGTTAACCTCACTTGTTCCCAAAAGCTTGCAATTACAGAAGCTATGCAGCTCACAAAACAACATCAAGGATTTTGCTGCTGTATTCTAAATAAATTCTAAGCTTAACTTTCTGTCTGGTAATTTTAACTATAACTTCTTGTCTTGCTTGCATTTAAACAGGAATATTTCATTTCCCCTCTGTCAGTTCACTTGTCAGGTACTTGCAGACTTCCAGTCCCAACAGGCTGTTCTTCTACCTCTGCCAAAATCGTTGACATAGAAACTGCACTACAGCTGTTCAAAATGTGCCCAGTCCTGGTTTTGAAAATAACTTCTCAGTTGTAGCCCAAGTTAATTCCACAAAACCATTTGTCTTCATACTTTGGAAGAGCAAAGCCTGAATATAAAACAGGGGACCTTGATCTGTTCCTTTCTCCAACTTACACCTGCAGCTGACGTTGTTATCATCCTTTTGGGCCACAGCAGGTAGATAAGTTTTTAGCACTGTGCATTTGCAGACCATGCAGGGGGTTTATGCTAGACAATCCCTTACTCCTTTCTGTCTCCCTACTGGATGTGCAGGGTGGCTCAGGTCTTCTAATGTGTAGAACATCTCAATCACGCTCCCTTTCCATGCTGCTGCTTGTCCTACTCCCTACCAAGAGCACAGGGATGCTTTTTCTTTCTTAGCCATGGATCCGAGTTCCCCTCAGCAGTCAGCACCTGGCGGTGAGCCAGCCTGTGCTGCAGGGCCACCCAGAGACTTTGCTCCCCAGCTGCTGGATCTGATGCCAAGAACAAAACTGCAGGAAAAAGCACGGTCAGTCAGCATGCCAGTGTCTCCACAGCCGCGCCAGGGAGCTGCTGACTTTCCTTGTGTTCACACTGGGGCAGCTGTGTCCCAGCAATTCAAAATATATTTGTATAAATTAAAGTTCAATATGAATTAGTACTAATCTCTGATATTACAAAAGAAAGACTGAGATGTTTGAGTAACTCATAGAACAACCACAAGCTACTCCCAGGCTCTAACAACTGAAAAGCAAAAGCAGTCACCAGAGAAATAACCAATGTGGGGAAGAACCATTGCACTGCTGCTCTGTGAGTTTTGCAAGACCCCATGTAAATTACCAGAAACAGTTCTTACCATTGACATTGAAGAAAGATGAGCTCAAACTGGAAATGGTGAAAGAAATGCCAGGAAGATGAGCAGGGAACAGAAAAAGCGTCTTACATGGGGATCTTTTTTTATCCAGTTAAATGGCCACGTTCTATAAACACACAGCATAAGGCCACTAAGGAAATACAACATTACCAAGAGCAGAAATTGAGGTATTTTAAACGTCAAGTAAGAACTTGTCTTTATGATTAGCGCAGCCACGTATTCAAGCAGAGCTTTTTCCCACAACAGATCAGTAAGAATTTGAGCTGTACATTTGCAGCCACATCTCACAGGCTTGGATCTTCCAGCTCATCCTGACAGCTGCTCCAAAGCAGCCAAGAATGCAGGCCTCTGCCTGGCCTGCTGATGAACGTGGGTGATCCCTGAGGAACTCAGCCACATCAGAAACCTTAGGGAAGTTACTTACATGAAGAGACCTCTTTGGTTATTGATAGCTTATTTTATCTGCAGGGATAACTGCACTGTATTGCTGCCAAGTACAGCCTGACTACATCACCACCAGGTATCTCATCAGACCTGTATTTCAAAAAATAAAGAAAGAACACGGACTTCATGTAAGCATAGCCTAAACTGACAGAATCCAGCACCAAGCCACAGAACTATTCCCCCCTACTGCACTTGTAAAGTACTGTATCATTCTCACTATTATTCTCCCAGTTCTACTTATGTTATCATATCTAAGTTCACACACCAAGTTCCTCTCTTCTCCTTCAGGTTCCCTATGACCTTTCTATTTATACCCTTAAAAAGTAAACTGAAAGTAAGAACAGAAAAATAAAGCATCTCAGCCTGTAACCACTATAAACTCAGCGCTGTAAGATCACTTTCAAGTTTGTTTTTAAATAATATACCCACATTTTTACCAAACTGCTTAAGGCACAAAATGCTTCCACCTTCATTCCCCTTTAGGAGGCTTTTTGCCTTCTGAGACTGCAGCCAAGAGGATTGCTCTACTTGTTCTACATTATACCCCACAGAACAGACATGAGGGCAGATGATAACAGTGCTGAGGATGAGCCGCTGCTTGCTTTCATAATCCACGCTCACACTGAACCCTGACAACTGCAGCAACGGCTCACAGGTGACAAACTGAGATCAGTGGCAGGCCTTGGGAACATCAACCAGTTGACTTTGTTAGTCTGTTCCACAAACCTAGCAGTGGGAAAAAAAACAACCCTATTTGCATTAGTGATGTTTCTTAAACACTTAGAAGCTTCACCCTCATTTCCAAAAAACCCTTTTCCTACACAGTGATAAGAAATAAAAGCTTCTCAGCCTTGCACAGCTGACCTAAATTCAGTGCATCCTCAAAACCCCATTGGGGAGGAATCTGCCAGTTCTGCAGGATTCATGTAATAAAATATTCGAATAACCAAAGATAACACTGTCTAAAAGAAAATAAGTACAACAAGAGATGATCACCTTATTTAAATGTTGACATAAAATCACAACTCTGACTAGAAAAATACCAAATATTTGTTCAATTTCCTGTACAACTCCAGAGAAACACAAGTATTTCACATTTGGTCCCACCCTCACTCATTAAACACTCAGGCTTTCCAAAACTTAAAGGAAATCTTTATGTTTTGGTATAAAACGCCTTAAGATGAAGTAGCTTTAACTAACGCTACTCAAAAGAAAAACATTCCTGTATTACACACCCATCACTACCTGCCTTATTTTTTCCCCAAATGGAAGCATCGTGCACACACAGCCACATTGAGGAACTTCCTTAATTCAGAAAGGCAACCTCTGCTTATTGTATCAAGCTGATAGAAAGCTAACAGTCTGTGCGTTGCTGTTCCTCCTCCGCACACAGCCTGCTTACAACAGCTGCACAGCTTAGTCACACAGATGCACCTTCCTGGCACTTCACAAACACGCTGTGATTAGTTACCTGATAAATCATTTACACTGTGCAGGTAATTCAGAGAGGGGAGGCAAAAGTCCTGAACTGCACACGTTCACACTGTGGGCACTGCTGGGCTCAGGGGTGCTCATAAGAATGCAGCATTTTGCAGCTAAGGCAAAGCGCGGCGCTGTGCCAGTCTCCAAAGCTAATCCACACACAGCACCCACGCTGCCACCATCCAGGCTACTTTATGGCACAACCAGGCTGCACATTAAGCCCAGCATTTTCTCCACTATGGATTCAATCTAGAATTGCAGCTACTTCAGAGCAAAAAGAAGAATCACAGAATCACATGAATAGGATATTTTCAATGGAACATAACAGGGTGCTGTGATGAAAGAAATTCTCTGCTGGGTTTGGGACCTGTTAAGTCAGCAGTGATGATGTACTTTATGGTTAGTACAAACTACAAAACTTAGGAAGGACTTCATAAAAGACTAATCAGCTACAAACCACAACTCAGAGTCATTAAAGGCCTTTCAGAACCCTCTTTTGAACACAAAGCAATCAAAAGAAACCCCTCATAGCTGTTGCTCTTCAACCTTAGCAGCAAACACGTAAGTTCCAGCTATGTACACTCTAGCACTGTGCTACCTTTATAGAAATCTGTATAGAAATTAAAAGAATACAAAGCTTCCAAGTACTTTAAATTAAAAACTAACAATGTACATATCAGTGCTACTGCTACTCCACCCGCAACAACTCACAAGCAGTTTGCTCAAGATTCTAAACCTCAAGAAACCAGCGCAGACATCCTAAACCACCTTGGATGGGTTCTTGGCTTCAAAAAGCACTCTGCTTTAGTAACAAAGTAAGGCTTATTTACTTCAATAAAGAAACTGTTTCTGTTTGCAGGAAAGAATACATAGAAGTGAAACAGGATTTATTTTTATTTTTTTTTTTTTTCCGTACGATGAAATTTATTGTGTGTTTATCACATTCAAAAAGCATTGACCAGCTGTTTGGTTTGATTTGGGTTTTTCTGGTAGCTATTAGAAGCTCAAGGAAGAGCTGACAACTGGAAGCTTAACTAGCACCTAACAGAGCTCAGCAGATACTCGGGAGGAAATGCTAACAGCCGTGTACTCAACACTTCGGACTGCAAATAGTTCTGTGGGCACAACAGAATAATTTTAAAAGGTTAAAGAAACCGAATGCTTTGGAAAGACCAGGCAGTATCACGAATATACAAAATTTAATCTTAAGTTCACAAGATTTTAAGGGTTTGATGGTTAAATCCTTACCCCCATTTCTCATGTCTGCTCAAAATCTAATTGCAGCCTAAGCTGAGATCTTTACATCTGTCATGGTTGCCTACGTGGGCAATTATGGGAGAAAAAAAAATACAGGATGAAAACTGCTCTGGGATGAACGCTGACAGATTCTTCACAACACATTGCAAGGCTCAAACAGCAGTGGGTTGGAAAAGAGAGGACAATACATATAAGTCAGCTGAGGACCAAAACTAGAGGGAAAAATGTACAGTCTGTACAGCGAATTGCATGGAAGTGCCCAGCATCGAGCAACAGACATGCAGGAAAAGCTGAAGTAACAGCGGAGCGGTTCTGCTTAGTTTCTGATAGATGGAGAAAACCAAAAACATTTCCCCACTGTACAGGTGACATTATCCAGTTATTAGTCAAATATATGGAACAAAATCTAATTAAGGGGAAAAAAACCTGATAAACTTCCCAGAAAGCCCTCTATGGAGCTAGTATTGAAACAAAGGGGAGCAATAATTGCTTCATCTCCAAATTAAGACTGAAGTGTACCAACAGTACTTCACCAGCACTTATCTTTAAGAATGAGCAAAAAAGGACAATTTACTTTTTAAAAGGGTGTCCTCTAAATCCAGCATAGGTATCAAGTACTCTAACATCCTAGATTTTTTTCAAAGCTTTTTGAGAAACACACACAAATAATTCAGATTTAGTCAATTTTATTTACAGTTTGTTTTTACATTTCAGAGCATTACACAATTACATAATTCTCATTTTCTGACCTGCAAACAGATACCTTAAACGGAAATATTTAAAAAAAAATGAAGTTAGATACATCCAAAATGCAACAATTACACATCTGACAATTCACAAAGTGTAATTAACTAGGACGTATCCTAAGAATTTAGGAACAACCAGTCAGGAGAAAATCTGACCAAATTTCATCAATCAATTATTTACACATTCAAAACAAAGCCTCTCTTAATCTAAAACTCCAGGCAAATGGCCTGAAAGACTTCTTCAGGAAGAAAGACCAGAAGTTATGATTCACACCTATGCAGCATTAACAGCCCTTGATCCCAAACACTGAGCAATTTCTCAGCTTTGTCTTAGAGCTACAGGCATCACTCTCAGCTTCTCAGACCCTGAAGTGTTAATATTTGTGCCCCCATGTGCATAGAAAGGCTGAGTGTTTAAGAAGTGGTCACTAAGATAAAACCCCATTTAATCTGGTCTTTAATTTTGTGAATTTTTCTTCCTTAAAAACTTCAGCACATCTTCTAATGCCATTTAAACTGGCCTTCATGGATCGGGGCACGCCTCTAAGATGCTCATGCGTGCATTGAACCAATTTGCACTGGCCAGACTAAATACATCAGAAAGTATTTGAAATCATGTTTAAAGACCATTTAGACAAGGCTTACGTTTCTACACTTCCCTGATGGGCCACCTAAGAAAAGAAAAATAAAGTATCACAGCTACTACTTTCACCCCTTGTGTCAACCCTTTGCCACACAGCAACTAGGTACATACTGGGTAGAAACTACTAAAAAATTCCCTGCAAATAAGCTGCCTTTCAGCTGAGGCTATGGCTCCTATGCATCGGGTGTTTGAGGAGTTCTTTCTTTAAAAAAAATTCTCACTTGAAAAATACTGAAATTCTCACTTTAGGCTAATTTTGATTGCATGTTCAATTTGTTTAACTTCCATGAAACCGCTACAAATGGAACTTTAGTATAAAAAGAGCATCCAACCGACTGCAACTTCTGCCTCGGCAAATCCTTCATGGTAGTCCTCTAACTAGGCTATGAATTTCGTGGAGCCTCCAGATTTCTTGCCTACCTTACTCTCCATGTTCACGTTTCAAACTGCGTCAGCAGGGCCCGAACTTCGGGAGTCAGCTGCTTAGCAGCCTTGGCTGCCTCTGTGACGGCCTTGCGGTAAAGACCCTTTCTCTTCTTATTAAAGCGCGACTGGAAGTTCTCTAAAAAGGGGGATAGTTGTGAAAGAGCAAGAATAGACGTTGTTGGGGAGCCAAACCATGATATACAAGCCTCCTGGCGAACTAAAAGACCATTATCTTTCCGGCTCACAGTTATGGTCAGGATACGGGCTGGCCACCAAGGGAAGCCATAAATTTTGGCCCAAACAATGTCCCCTACACATATGGTCCTGCCATCTGGTGTAACACATTTAGAGACTTTTTTGGAAAAGACTTTCATTTTCAAGGAATTACTGAGCTTTTTCTCTTCTTTCGAAGAGGAGGAGGAGGAGGAAGGTGCATGCATGCTGCCTGGAGGAAAATCAAAGCTTTCAGTAGAGCTACACTCAGAGTTGGTAGATTTCAAATCATCTGTGCTATCACTACTACATACTGATGCACTGGAAGAGTCAGATTTCTTTTGATTAAGGGTCATGTAAACCGTTATATTGCTTTTGCTGCCTCTCTTGCCCAATGTCTGGTGTTCATCCTGATCAACAGTTACATGCACTTCACTTGTGTCCTGAACCTCACTGCTGGCCTCTTCAGGGCCTTTTGAGGGGCTCTGATTTTCTGAAGGGGCCTCACCTGCTGAGCGGGTGGAGGAGCAGCGAGACTGCGGCTTAGTTGCCATCTTGCCACTCCGTATTTTCTCAAGTCCTGTCTTGAGAGAAGAGTCATTTTCTTCATTCCGATATCTTTGTGGCTTTAAACGCAATCGGGGTGGGAGGGAACCTGAGCTGGTGTTCTGAAGACGCCGTGTGAAGTGGACCTTTGAATGTGCATTTTTGGAAGAGGAGGTTGCACTCTGCTTCTTTTGTGCCTTTTCTTTGGCCATTTTCAAGACTTCCCGAGCTTTTGCATGATCCATGTTTTTGCTCTGGAGAACTTTTTTTGTATTTAACTGCGCTTTTGAAGTATTTGCTTGTGCAGTAACTTTAACTACTCTGCTTCTGCTGTGGGCAATATTTGAAACTTTGACCACAGCATTCCTTTTCTGGCTTTCATTTTGGCTTTTTCCATCCACCTTATGGTCAGTCTTAAGTTTTTTATTCACAGTAGTCACGCTCTCGTTTCTTCGTTTTTTATTATCCTCATATTTTGAAGAGTCACTTGCATTGCCACCTTTTTTTATTTCCTTTTTTTTCTGCAACAACACTGTTTTTGCACTTGTCACATAAGACCTGTCGGGGTCGTAGTTTGATAGCATTCATAATAGAAGTGGGCTCCTCCCTGTACATTTTACGCTTGGGCCGCTTAATTTTCCGGGGCGGAGGCTGAGGTATTGACTGGTTATATGTGTCCCTGATAAACAAAGGAGGAGGATATGGCGCTCCCTCATGGAAGAGAGGAGGTGGTTTAGAAGTCCATAGGCTTTTAGCTAAGCTTGGTTCTGATGGCTGTGTGAGAGAAGAGTCATCGGGGACTGCAGCATTAGATTCACACTTCACCTGTGCCTCATCTTGGAATGGTTTACTTTGGAGCTGCATGGCTTCAGGTTTATCCTTGTATTCCCTTTTAGGAAATATGGTCACAGGGATTCCGTGGGGTCCAAACCTTCAAGAGAACAACAACAAAAAGAAACATTAAAGGTTGGAGGGATCTTTTGCTGTATTTATTAAAAAGCATTTTAAAAGCCGTCAGCATAACTACCATTTGAGAAACATGAGTTCTGGACAAAATTGAAACATTATACCAAGTCTTAGGCTAAGTTTTGAAAAAGCAAAACATCAAAGCCAAGTCAGCATCCAACACAAAATACATCACTTCACTTACGTGGGTTTCTATCGTGTCAACAACAACCTCTGAAAATACATCCAAAAATATTGCCAGGGACAGCATTTATACTTCTAGAAAACACTTATAAACACAAAGTTCATACTCACCCCATCAATCCCAAATCTACTCAAGATATTTCTACACCAATTCCATTTATATGAGCAAGGAAGGCTTTTGATTAAACAGAATTCTACAGAATTCTTCAGTTTGTGGCATAGCACAAAAGTCTGAACTTCTGTTAAATTTCAGCCAGATACACAACGTGTAAATACTGGCATTTAACAGCACTGTCATTCTTCACATTGACATCCACAGAAGATTACTGCTCGACCACCTGATGTATTACAGCCTAGAACTTGGAGTTTGGGTTCCTTCTGGCAAAAATACCCCTGTAATTTCAATACAGCACAAATAATTCCCTTCCGTTCTGCAAACAAACTATTTTAAAACACTGCCTACTTTTCTGCAGGCAGCTCCAGGTGTTCTAAGATCTCTAACACCCTGTTTGACACACATGAAACTCCACTAAGTCTTATACATTAGTTTAACTTCCCTATACTAAGAGAAGTAGAATGCTGTTCAACAGGTAACCAATATCTTCTGCAGTATGTTATGCTAAGGGAAATGTCATCAGTTTACAGGGCATAATGCTTATCTTCTCCTGGGAGAAGAGTTAAATACATCCATATTTCATCAATTTGTCTTTCAATCTACTGAACACAAAGGGAAGGATTATAAAAGCCTGTTTAACCATTCTCACGTCCCACGTTAGAATCTACAATCTGAAGTACCAACCTTACAAAGCCCTCACGAGGCATTCGAACTCTCTGCCCAACTCCAGCTCCAACACACGCAGATGTGTTTGGCTTACATTAGGCTATATTTGAATAGCTTAGCTTACTGCAGCAAGAACACTATAGACAAGGTTGCAATTCAAACATTAAATCACCCATTCCAAATCACCAAACACCGTTTGTATTTATCTCACATGACCTGAGAATGAAGTAATTAACCAAGACCTGTCCTCAGGTTAACACTAGTTCACATTGCTGTGCAGGTGTTAAACTGCAACATTTGAACTGACGGAACTGAAATTTGTCATCTATGGCTGCTGCTAGACTGAAGGTAAATGCAGAGTGGTGGTCTATCTTCCATTCACATTCCTGCAATAAACATGCAGTTTAGACAAATATCTACAGGCTGGCTTCTTGTTTTTTCAAAGTTTGTTATGACATTTTTTTTCAATACACGTTAGAATATTCTTTACACTGTCACAAGCAGAAGCCGTCACTTATTTGTCCTTCTTACCTGTTAAGCCTCTTTTCACACTTTGAAGTTGTAACTGAAGCAAGCAATCCATCCAAAACTAAATTATCCATCCCATCTGCATTTCATTATACCCAGTCAAGTGACAACTCAACCAATTTTTGTCATCAAAAATAGATGAAGTTGTACACTTGACAACTTACAGGTAGGAAGCATCCAGTGCTGTTGTTACCTTCCCCCTAGATACTGTAACATTCATACCTTTGAAACCTGGAACCCAGGCAAAGCCTGGTCTACTAGCTGCTGGAGAACTATTCTGTATATACACAGAGTGACAAGCATCCTATGCCACAGAACACCTTACTACCCCACAAAAGTTCATTTCTCAGGGTTGGACTCACTCCATTTGGACTCCAGATGTCCTCCCTGAGATAAAAATCAAAACTAAACGCAGCTTGCTGCACTACTGAGGGCTACAGCAAGTTACGAGCACTGAACTGTGGATCTGTGCATCTCTCCAGCCAGCATTAATTCAGAAGATACTCATTACTAGGTTTTAAGTTCCCTAAAGACTCAGAAGGCCACCAAGAGTTGAGAAATTATTTTTGCACAAACGCTGTTCCTTTCACTAAGGATGACAGATAATTGTTCAGATCTGAGTGTAGGATTTACAAAAAAACAACAAACACCAGCTGTCAGCTGACAGCAATAAAACTAGCAACATTTTCAGTGTTACTTGCACTAAGAGCTTGGTTTCTTGTACAGCAAGAAGATCTGGATCCCACTGTTCACCACCTGATAAGATTTGCTAGAGTTAGGAAAGCAGTTAGTGTAGCGTAGGAGTTGAGAACAAGAACCCCTAGATGGGACAAAAATCTGCTATACAGATTTCAATCCACAGTGAACACCAGGAACACCACTGATGCCATTAAAGCCTTTTAAGACTGTGACTGCATCTTAGACCATCTTCTCCTTCATGAAGCTCCATAATATTTAGTCCAAAAAGCTGAGGAATAGGACCGCTGATGTGGCTATTTTAATATATAGGAGGCAAACCTACTTTATGAAGGTACAGAACCATTCATACTGAATTCCTGAGGCTACAGCCTGTCTCACAAAAGGTAACGTTTTAATGAATGAGCTGGAATTTGCTGGCCCTATCTACCTAAAAATTAATGAGTTCAAAGATTACAGACTTCTCACTGATGTCTGGTGCCAGTTATGCAAGAGCAAATAGGAATGTGATTTGTGTAAACTGCACATCAATACATAAAGGCCCGAGAAGCAATGATGCAGTTCACGCAAAGTACCAAATAAATCAGGCACACCCAGAGACTGATTCTTACTTGCAATGTCTTTTTTCTTTTTTGCCCCATTCCAGAGCAGGTCGTGCCCACATTCTGTTTTTATGATTGTTAACTCTTCCTTGGTGAAGTTCTCCAATTGTCCAACTTGCAAATTTAAAAGAGAAAGTGAGCAGAAAGATTTAGGAGTGGTACAGAACCGAGTACAAAGCTGGAAAGAAGAACAAGGCAATAAGCACAAAGAGAAAGCTGACAGTGGCATATCTTCTCAACAGAAGCAGCAGAATGAATGTGACCAGAACAAACCTACTGAAAACTACACATGGCAGAGCATCTAAGTGGTTCAGCAGTTATGAACTAAAGTATTTAATGCTTACATACTGCAAGAGATCGCCTTGCCTTTATTCTAGACAAGTACATCTTTTTTGAATGCATTGATCCTGAAGTATCACCTGTCCTTACTTTAATACTTTCTTCCAACATTCCAGAGAACACTACTCTTGGGAAGGCGAAAGACAGCGTCTTCCTTATCAAAAATGAATAGAATAAAAGTCAATGTGTGTCTAAGTTCCAGCTGTGCTCTGTACAGCCCACTACTGCACTGTATGTACAGTTCTACCTCAGAATATTACATGATGTAATAGAAGGATTCCTTGATGAAGATCTGAAATCAAATTGTTAAGAAAAAAAGAGAGTAAGAAATGGGTATTTAAACAGAGATTAAGGCACCTCTGCTTCACGCGTATTCAGAACTAGAATCAGTTCTCCATGTTGCCAAGCTTCCTCTTTCAAAAAACTGTCCTGGCCCTTTTTTACTCTGTAAAGTTCTCTCTGACAAAGACGGATAACACTCAGTGTAAGAACAATATTTTTAAGAAGGTTTACAAGTACGCACAGCAATCAGGAGGATCTAATCATACACACATCTGATACCCCGTGCCGGACACAATTCCTACATGCATCCTTATTAAAAGCAAATAATAATCAGTAATTGAGAAACAGGAGAGATGAGATGCCTTCCGACAGTCCAGTTATCTTTACAACACAAACAACTTTCAATTAGCTTGGGAGGTTATACAGAGACAGATGTGATAAGAACACTTATGGTTTTATTTCCATGTCTTATCAACTGGAACTTAATGAATGGGAAGCCATGGCATCTTCTGTGATTGTGCAGAAGCTACTTTTTAATATCAAACCTACAAGTTATAGAGATTTGCATTACAGATATGTAAACCCAAGCACTTCAAACAAACTAAGAAGTCACTTTTCACATCTAAATCCTATAGCAGAATTATTATAATGAAGACATATTACTGTTCAATTTGTATGCAAAACAGGGCAGAGTTAAGAAGTATTTTTAAATAAGCAGGAGATAAGGAACAAATACCAACTAAATGCACAACTGCATGTACATAAACATCTAAATGACGCATCCTGGGGCAAAGTGTCTGCATCACTATGTAAAGTCTCCAGCTCCCATCTTTAGTCTCCAATGTTTAAGTTTTGCCTTTCTCAATTAAAAAAAAAAATAAAAAATAGTACAAGTATATTTTTTCCTGCCAAGAAAAGCCAAAGGAAAGAATGTGCAAAAAGGGTTCAGAAGTATTTCATGTTTGTCTACAAACACTGGGTTATTTCAACACAACACAATAGCTTCTAGTGCTGGGTTAAATCAATTCTGTTCTAAATGATTCGGATCAAAATTCTCATCTTCACCATTAAGTCAGACTACAGCAATCATCAATTACCTTTCAACACATTACTCTTGTTCAACCTACATTACCAGTAGGTATTTTGTAGCAGCCAAGAGAAGAAGCAATCAAAGCAATTTTCATCTCATGGATAAAGGCTCAATGATTCTGAACACTGAGAGTATAACAACATGCTCAGGTAACATAGGGCTAAGCATATTTGTTTCACATGTACACACAAGCTGGGGGCTTAAATCACAATAGTTGATGTAATACACAATTAGATCATAGCTATTTCAATACAAAGTATTTCAGAACCCAGGAAAACAGTCTGTATCCAAAACACAGATTATGCAGTAACCTATTTTTAATAAGGGATTTAGTTGGCACAATAAAGCTTGTTGTGGCACACTGCTTCTAGTGGTAGGCACCTAACTGAAAAAGCATCCACATAAGCCAAGTTATCAATTCAGAACTTTACTTACCTCCTAAGCAATGTAACAATAGAAAAAAG